AACTAATATTTTAGTTTTTTGAGGAATAAGAGCAACAATAACACCAGCAGCAACAAACACAAAACTTGTTATAAAAAGTGGATTTTTTTTTCCTTTCCATCTGCTTTAACTTACTTTACTTTCATCTGTCCTCAAGATCAGCAAAAAAAGAAATGAGTTTTATCTTATTTTTTTGTTTCTTATAGTTGAGTTATCTAACGTTTCTTATGTCCTCATCTCTCTCTCTTCTCCTTTCTCTTCCATCCCCTCATTTATTCTCAAACAAAAACAGGTCTTCAATAGGGAAAAATCGCTGCATTGTGACTTGTAGCTTTAAATGATGACGCCGATGACGTTGATGATGATGAAATTGATGATGTTTCCCCAAACTACTGATTCAGTTCTTCCTCTTTTACTCCCTATTCTCCTTCCTCTCGTCACTTCTGATTTGATTGACAACTTTTTTAAGTCTTAAAAGAGAGGTAAAAAAAATTAGAATGTTAGTTTTTTATTCAAACTGATTACCTCTTACTCCTGTTAAAAAGCAAAAACAAAAAAGTTGAATTACAATTAAAAGTGAAAGAAGTAAGAAAAGCATTTACCACATAACGAAGTGACATAATTGCTGTAAAGGTTTATTGATCTTCGGGTAACCGATTCCTCCATAATAAATTTCACCTTAATAAATAGCTTTTTTAGTGGTTTTACTTGTTTTCTTTAACTATTTGAAAAAATACGCCAAAAAACAAAGAAAGGAAAAAAAAGATAGAATAGATCATTTCTAACAACAAATTCTTATAGATTATTTTTCGTCTTTTGTTACTCTGAAAACGCCATTTGGCAACACTATAACAGAATCTCATACCAAGTAACAAAATTATTTGGTAACTTTCTACAATAATGCACCTTACGTTCTGCTTAAAGCCTATATTCAGCACAAATCGACTAGAATTTAGCTGTTGATGTTTAATACTACTCAGATACGATGCATTTAGGCTACCAAAAAACAGCATCAAATTAAAAATTGATGTTTACACTTACTTCCCGCTTTAGTGTGGTCAGCAGCTGTTCCTTTTGTTTTTCAATTTTGCTACTGGTTTCCAAGCTCGGATCCGATGTTGTGAAGTTTCGAACATCGAAATACTGAAGATAGTTTCCCTCACTTATCTTTCGTTCTGGTATTATCTTGGCTACACATTCTTCCCGTGCACTATATTGACGCATCACAACCTGTGTAACTACCTCCATCCTAAAAAAAAAAGAAACGAAAAAAAAATGTACGTGTTGAAAATACAGATTAGATTTATGTTCAAAGCGTAACATTAATATAACTATCAATACAAAAAATTACTTTTATATATATATATATATATATATATATATAT